AGGAATGCCCAGCAACGGCGAGGGCCAGGGAAGTCCGACCATGGGCCGACCCCACCAGCCCCAGGCCCCCCGCCCAGCCATGTACCCACCATGAAGGGGACAGGGGTGACACTGAGACCGACACAGAGCTCAGAGGGACGCAGACCAGATGAGAACTGCCCCTGGCAGCCGGAGGACAAGCAGGTCAGGCCCATAAGGTTCCTTGTGCAGGCCCTGCCTTAGCTCCTTCTCATAGGAGGGCAGCCACGTGGCAGGAGGCCCCTCCCCGGTGTGGTTGGGGGGGCTGCAGCGACTTCAGACTGACCCCACCAGTGGGTACTCCTGCCCAGGACATTGAAGCTCATTGACGACCCCCACCCCATCACAGGGTCCCCACAGGGAGGCGTTGACCTAACGCTCCCATGGACTGGACCTAATTCCAAGGAATTCCTGCTTCCGTGGCATGTGGCTTGCACTAAGACCAGCTGCTCGGGATGCTGGCAGAGGGGCGCTAGAGGCTGGCAGGGGGGCTCTGGATGCCTGCGCCCACAACTGCACAGGGCCCACGCCCACACACGGCTTCTCACCCGTGGCCAGCCTTCCGGTGCCTGCTGATCTCCTTCTCGCCCTCAATGATCCACTGCATGATTTTCTGGTTCTTCTCTGCATCCTCAGAGGAGCCTGGCGCCTCCACGCTGGTGCTCTTCCCCGACTCAGCCTTCTTGGAGTTTCTTTTGGAGGTCATGCTTGCCTTCCCGCTGCAAGAGCAAGACCCGGGTCACCTGCTACTTCAGCTGGCCCAGACCCTCATGGCTATGGGAGGGTGGCCTGGAAGGGCCCCTCCCTGAACGTGGGGCCTCTGCCCTGGCTCTGCGGGCATGAGTGGGGTTGTTTTGGTGGACTCTATGATGGGAAGGAAAGGAAGGAAGGCGTCCAGGCAGCATGGGCCGGGAGGGTTGGAGCCAAGGTGGCGGCATCCAGGGCCTGGCCACCCTTCCTCACCCAGACACTGCCCTCCGAAACAGGTGCATCTGACCTGACCATGCTTCAAGGCTGGCGCTCCAGCGGCCAGTGCACCCAGCTGCCTGCTGTCTCTGTGGCTGACCCTGATTTAATGACTTTTAAAGGGGAATCCTGGCTTGAAGGCTGAACAGAGGCCACAGGAGATACGGCCTCTCACCTTGACCCCTTTTTCCTGGAGACACACACAGCCTCACTGACACAGATGCAGAAAGAGGGAACCGCTGCAAACACTCACCTGTAGGCCAGGCTGTCATTGGTGGTGGGGGTGGTGCCCATGCTCTCCATGTGGCTTCGGGGCTTGGCTGCGTGGCCATGCAGCTCTGGGCCCCACGCGAAGCTGCTCTGGACCCGGCGGGAGGCCTCGGCCTCGGCAGGTTCCTTGGGCCTAGCTGAGCCATGGTGGCCGTGGTGGTGGCCGTGTCTGTGGAGGTGCAGGCCAGCTGTGTCCAGCTTCGCCCCCGACTTGGGCACGTGCTTTCCATGCCCGGGCACTGTGCCCCCTAGCGCTCCCATCTTGGGCATGTGTGCACTGTCCGGGGAGCGGTGGCCGGGCCCTGGTGACTGGCAGCCCGGTGTCCTCATGACTCGCTGCACATGCTCGTCCAGGATGCTCTCCGGGTTCTCCTCGTGTGCATCCCGCAGCCCCACACAGCTCACATCCGCGTAGCGGGGTGGGAAGTGGTGCCAGGCCGGGGCTGAAGGCAGCTTATGACTGGCCCCTGGGGGGCCAGAGGACACATCACCATCCTCACCTTCTTCCTCCTGTGGGGACAAGACCATATGTTTACCTCTCGGCACTGGCCGCACTGCGGAAACCCCACGCTTGCGGAGACAAATCACAAGCAAGCAAAGGCCAGGAGCCCCGAGCCCGGGATGAGGCCGGGCAGGTGAGGTGCTGGAGGGGCCGCCCGACCCAGAGCGGCCCCCAGAGCCCCTCCTGTCCCTGCTGAGTCCCGAGCAAGTGCAGCTGAGCTCTGGGCAGTCTGCACGGCAAGAGGGTGCAGACGGATGGAAGCTGGGCTCACCACCCGAGTGTGGCGGGTACGCGGTGAGGAGGGGCACAATGCCAGTGCCGCGGAGACCACCGGGAATCCTGGCACTGGTTCCACTTTCTTTTATGCTTATCAGTAAAAATTTTGTTTTTTTTTTCAGTTGAGTTTTCCTATTCCTCAATCTTACTGCCATATTTTCCATCATATTTTCAAAGGGAATGTTGCCCTTGTACAGAAGAGCTCTTGGTTTTTGCTTACCTTTTTGCTATTGGTGTCTTAATAAATTCTGACATTAAACTAATAGAATTTCCTTTGATTCTCTGAGAATTACCATAACCACATCTATAAATATTCAATCACTTTAATTCCAAAAGATACTGGTCACATTTATTTTCTTGTCTTATTGACTTGTCCAAACCAGAATGCTGAGTATGTCTGGTCATAACTGAGAAAACGGGCGACTAAGCCACCCTGCACTTTAACACAAAAAACCTCCGGGAGTTCACCATAAGACTCACCACTGCAAAAGTACCTAAATGTCATTCGGACATGCCGTCAGCTGTGGGCACTGCAACTCAGGATGGAAAATGGCACTGAAGAGGACAGACAGGGAGAGAGGGATGGATGGAGGGGGAACACACACCCTGTGGGCACAGATGGGAGCTGCCCTGGCAGAGCCTCAGACTGCTGGGCTCCTGCGCCCCATCCTGTGTCCCCATCCCGACCCCTGTGCTTTGCAGGGATGAGGGGCTGGGAGACTCCTTGCCAAGTCTTCCCCAGGGCACTGCACTGTTGACACTATTCACCTAGGGCAGCAGAGAGCAAGAGGGAACCTCCAAATTCCTACGGATCTGACATCTAGTTTTTCTTAATAGCTCTGCATGTGCAGAAATTCAATTTTAGAGCTCTATAATATTGATATTATAGATTTACGTAACCATTCAGCTGCTAGTATTCGTTTTCTTTTTTTTTTCTGCTGTACGCGGGCCTCTCACTGTTGTGGCCTCTCCCGCTGCGGAGCACAGGCTCCAGACACGCAGGCTCAGCGGCCACGGCTCACGGGCCCAGCCGCTCCGCGGCATGTGGGATGCCCCCGGACCGGGGCACGAACCCGCGTCCCCTGCATCAGCAGGCGGACTCTCAACCACTGTGCCACCAGGGAAGCCCTACAGATTTTTTAATAACTTATTTTCATTGTAAAACTTGGAAAATGAAAACAAAATAAAACGGGCTTCCCTGGTGGCGCAGTGGTTGAGAGTCCGCCTGCTGATGCAGGGGACGCGGGTTCGTGCCCCGGTCCGGGGGCATCCCACATGCCGCGGAGCGGCTGGGCCCGTGAGCCGTGGCCGCTGAGCCTGCGTGTCTGGAG